GTGATGTCACCTTGGTTCTCTTTGAGAACGAAGGACAACAACCAGTCACTAACCAACCAACCAATCAGCATCCCCAGACCGTGGCACGGTGCCCAGCATGGAGTAGGTGCTTAATAAATAAATAAATACGCTGCTGCTTTTGCATGGTAGCCTTGCTACATTCTCACCTACCTGTTGCTCCACGCCTCTTGGAGGTCCTCAGGAGAAAGGGGTGGGGTGATATCTTTGGGAGGGGAGTCAGGATAGATTGGTTCTTCCTCTAATCCAAAGGTCAGCTTCTTGACTACCTCCAGCTTCCGCTTCTTGGACTTGGGAGCTGTCAGGACACCGAGCGGAAGTAATGAGGAGCCAGATATGGTACAGAGGTACCAGGTCCCTTAATTTCTCTAGGGCTGCTCCCTAATTTCCAGTTTCCTATAATGCTTTGGAGAAAAGGGTGGAACCAGGATCCAAGAGCTTCTTAAACTCATACATCAAAAATGTCATCCTTGGGGGCAGTTAGGTGGCACGGTGGATAGAGTACCAGCCCTGGATTCAGGACCTGAGTTCAAATCTGACCTCAGACACATAACACTTACTAGCTGTGTGACCCTAGGCAAGTCACTTAACCCCACTGCCTAACCAAAAAAAAAAAAAAACAGAAGGAAAGAAAGAAAGAAAGAAAGAAAAAGAAAATGTCATCCTCCAAACATCACACCCAAACACCCTCAACTACCCTAAATAACCTTCTTCATCTCTGTCACCTGGGAGGAGACCTAAACCCTTATGGAACCTCTTTCCAAAGCTTAAACCACCTCTCCAGGTATCAAGCTCCTGAAGTTCAATCTTCCCGAGTGCAACTGGGATTAGATTAAATGTAACTGGGAAATATTTAACGAAAACACAACAAAACACAGATAATAATACTATGTGGTTTTCTAGGTCAATATGTAGCCAACCTATTTTTTTCCTTTTGAGTTTGACACCACTGTTCAGGGGCAAATCAGAGGCAGTTTGTGATTTGTTCTAAAATGAGAAAGCCAAAAAAAGCTAATGAGATCTTAGAGAGCCCAGTTCATCATAGATATTTAGAGTCCAGAAGGCCAGGGTGACAGTCCCAGGTAATATCTGGTACTTGATGTATGTTCAGTTTTATAGTCATCATTGTATCAGCCTCCTTGCTGCATTTTAGGAAGGATGTGGACAAGCGTCTTCAGAGGAGAATGATGAGGCTGGTTTCTAAACCATGCTATGGATCAGCTGAAGGAATTGGGGATGTGTAGACTTGGCAGGGATAAAACACCATTTTGTCTTCGTATTCCCATGAAGATATTTATAATAAAAGCTTGCTAGAGCTTCGCCCCAAAGAAGAAAGATAAGAAGGCCAAGGTGGGGGACAGTGGGTACAGAACACGGCATATCATGTCAGACTTTTTCTGATCTGTTGGTTAGTTTGATTGAACTATTTATTCCTGGACTTTAAAGAACTAAGTTCAAACCTGCATGCAAACACTTACCCGCTCCGTGCCTCAGTTTCTTCATCTATAAAATGGGAATAATAATAGCACCTACCCCTCCAGGTTGTTTTAAGTATAATATGAAGTATGTGTAAAGCACTTTGCAAACTTTAAAACATTCTATAAATGCTACTGTTATTACAGATGATTCTCTGGGAGTAGGAGAACCAGAGATATAATGGGAAATGTAGGTGATATTAAAAATAAAAGATATAAATTAAGACCAAAAAAATGCTTATTGGATTGGGAGGATTTTTTTTTCCTGTGACTCTACAGGGCAGAACTAGAAGCAACAGACAAAAGTTATGAGGAGGATTTTGACGCAGTAAAAGAAAAATATTTAATGACTGTCACTGTCATTTAGTCATTTTCAGTTGTGTCCGATCTTGGGGTTTTCCTGGCAAAGATACTGGAGTGGTTTGCCATTTCTTTTTACAGACAAGGAAACTGAAGCAAACAGGGTTAAGTGACTTGCCCAGGGTCACACAGCTTGTAAGTGTCTGAGGTTGGATTTCAACTCAGGTCTTCCTAACTTCAGGCCCAACACTCTAACCATTGGGCCACCTAGCTGCCTATGTTTACAGCTGTCTATATAAGGGGTCAGCAATCAACTCGGAATGGCCTGCCATGGTTTTTATATTTTTCTTAATTTTTATATATTTTTAAATTTTTCCTTGGTAAAATTTTTATAATTTTTATATTTTTTAAAATAAAAGTTCTATCGTATTTAAAAATGTAAAAACCATTCTTAGCTTGTGGACTGTATAAGAATATCTGGCATATTTGGACCTCTGGTTTGCCAACTCTTTCTCCATACAAAAGAGGAATGGGCTGCCTTAGGGATTTTACAGCTCCTGCAGAGGTCTGCATGGGGCCGACGGCTACTTATCAGGGATGTTGTGCTTCCTGTGCTGAGTTAATCTAGGTGACTTCTGAGATCTCTTCCTCAACTTGTGACGGGTTTCAAGGCATGTCCTTACTATGTCCTTAGGTGTGCTGAGCCTGCTGATGTGATTTAACAGGCTCTAGGCCCTTCTCTAGCAGCAGGGCGATCCGGCCAACTTACTGACTGTGAGGTCCTCTGAGAACAGAAACTCAGGATCTTTCCCCTCCTCTTCTCCCGTGAAGTCAACATTCAGGCCACGTTTCTTGGAGCTGCTGCCACCGCCGACAACCTCCCTGTAGTTTTTGTGGGGGGAGACACCGTTCTGTTGGTGCTGGATGCTGATGGAGAAGGGGAGGACATCGCCAGAAGTGATGGCTTCTTCAAATGTCAGCTTGTTGTTCTGGAGTTGTGAGGCTCTGGATGGGGGGAGACAGCAATCTCCTGGAGGAAAAAACCAACATTGTCATAGGCTAGAAGTGAAGGAGGCATTTCTAGGCAAGAGGAACAAGAAAATTCATAGCAGTAGTCCTCCTACACATGGCTTTGGAGTCAAAGGACCTGGATTCAAATCCTGCCTCTGTCATGCACCACCTGTGTGACCACTTAACCTATGTGGGCCTCATTCTCCTCATCAGCAGAGGCAGCTAAGTGGAGCATCAGTTAGAACCCTAGGCCTGCAGGGGCGGCTAGATGGCACAGAAGATAGAGCACCAGCTCTGGAGTCAGGAGGACCTGAGTTCAAATCCGGCTTCAGACACTTGATACTTACTAGCTATATGACCCTGGGCAAGTCACTTAACCCTGATTGCCTCACCAAAAAAAAAAAAAACAAAACAAAACAAACCAAAAAATCGAAAAACCCTGGGCCTGGAGTGAGGAAGACCTGAGTTCAAATGTCCTCAGATACTCACTAGCAGTGTGACCCTGGGCAAGTCATTTAATCTTTGTCTGCCTCAGTTTTCTCAACTACAAAATGGGGATCACAAAAACACCTATCTCACCGAGTTGTTGTGAGGATCAAATAGTCAGCAGACAATAAACATTTATTAAGTGCCTACTGTATGCCAGATGAAGCAGCTAGGTGTGCCATAGATCTGTGAGATAGAAGTACAAGACGCATCATCGACTATTTTTCAGATGAGGAAAATGGGCCACAGAGAAGGGACCCGCTTTGCCCGGGTTCAAGGAGCAAAGCTGGAAATGGAATCCAGGAATAATCCCAGCACACTTTTCTTTAGTGTTTTTCAGGATGCAAAGTGCTTTCCTCACATAATACCCTGAGGGGGAGGTAGTGCAAACTCTTATTATCCCTATTTGACAGATAAGGAAACTGAGGCTGAGTTACACAGGGTAGTAGGGACTCCTTCAACTCCTCGGCCAGAATTACCTGTACTGCACTACCCTGGAAAAATGACTATGTCACCAGGTGACAAGGACTCCAAGAGGTGAGAGGAATGGAGAGTCCCTAGAGACTAAGTCCAGCTGCTTGGTGTCACTGCTTTCTATACATTCTAAGACAGTAGGACAAACTGCTGGGCTCAGGGTCCTTACACAGAACAATAACAGTTCACATTTATATAGTGCTTTAAGGCTTACAACATTTACTTTATACTCACAGCAATCTTGTGAAGTAGGTACTATTACTATCATCCCCATTTTACAGAGGAGGAAACTGAGGTTCAGAGAAGTAATTTGTCCTGTATCACACCAGTAGTACCTGAGAGGATCTGAAGTCTTCTTGACTCCAAAGCCAGTACTCTATTATGCCACACTGCCTTGACGATAATGAAACTAATAATAGTAGTTCTGAGGTTTGTAAAGAGCCTCACAACAACCTTGTGAAGAAAGTGCTATTATTATCCTCGTTGTTATCCTGAGGCTGAGACAGGTTAGGTGACTTGCCCAGGGACACACTGCTAAGAAGTGTGTAGGGGAGAATTCGAACGCAGGCCATCCTGACTCCAAGTCCACCAGGATTACCGCCACATCTGTAAGGGATGCTTACTGCTCACAGGGTCCAGAAGCTGGTCCCAAGAAAGCGCCCACAAGTAGCGCCAGAACTGTGGACCCCTAAAAGCCTGTGCTCTCCTCACTCAGCACGGCACCCGGTCCTGCCCTTACTGCAGGTCCTCGGTGGGGGTGGGGTGGGTGGAGTGGGCGTTGATTGGCCAGTCTCCCCATCCCGACCCTGCCCCCCGGCCGCAGCCCTGGGAGGTTCTCAATCTCACTCACGTTCCAGCTCCGCTAAGGCTTCCAACTCGGATGCAAACTGGTCTTGGAACTCGTCTTCGACGCCATATAGCTCCTGCTCGTAGTCCTCCATGGTGGCTCCAAACGTGCAGCGGACTCAGCTTGGGAAAGCTCAGGGGCCGCAGGATCCCTTGGGGCGCGGGACTCCAGCCCAAGCACCCGGGGCTGCCCAGAAGCGAAGCAGCCGGTGCGAAAGACCCGCGCTTCCCCAGCGCGACGCCGTGCGCGCGCACCCCCGCCCTCGGCGAATTCCGGGAACGTTCCATGCGGCTCCAGCCAACCAGCGCTCCGGGCTCAGCTGGGGGCGTTACATCCTCTCCCATTGGCCGGCCTGGCTCCTTATCTAGCCTGGGAGGCGGGGAGGAAAAGCCAATGCGACTACTGGAGGATACATTATTGCAAGCTGCTGTGGCCCTGGGAGGCGAGTGGGGCGCGCTGTCTGGACTGCGGAAAGGCTGAGCAGGGGTGAGTCTGAGGTAACTCGCTTAGCAAGTGAAAGGGCCAGAGCTGGAGGCTGGGGCCAGGGGGCTTCTTCGGGTAGATTCCAGCGGGTGGGATCCTTTCATTGCTCCGGGGGAAGCGGCCTCTTCCTGTGTGACTTTGGGACGTTTGCGTGCAGCCTGGGAAGTGCAGATCTAGCAGTGTGGGAGGAAGTAATCCCTCTGTGCACTCAGTTCTCTAGCTCCCTCCCCTCTCCCCACCCCGGTTTGCATGACAGCTTGGCTGCCCGGGTGGGGGGCTGCATTTCAAATGCATCTTTATTTGGGAGTGGGAGATAGGATCTGGGCCTTGGTGCTGCTGGTGGCGGCCCTTTGCCCCGGCGGATAGACTGGCTCGAGGGTGGGCTCTCTGCCCTCCAAGGGCTGCTGTACCCAGGCCGTTCAGGTTGTCACCCTTGGTGGTGCAGACGGAATCCGTATGATTTTGTGTGGACCTTGATGGAAAGAGGGTCAGAGGGTTTTATAGTCCTGCCGACCCCAGGGAAGTGGGGGATGTGTGCGAAATACCTCCTCGCACTGTCCCAACTCCGGGATTAACTAGTTCAGTGACCTTGGGTAAATTTCTTCCACTCTTTAGTCCACTCATTGTTAATTATATTCATTAATTTATAAAGTGAGGAGATTAGGCTCCATGGCCTCCTGGTTCCTTCCCCTCAGACATTCTATGAATCTATGTCTTTAGTTCATTCAACAAGGTGTTAAGGAGGCCAGGAAGTTAAGAACCTCGTTTTTAGCCTAATAGCTTCCTGGGGGGAAAATTTTTGTTTTTTCTAATTCTACTGGCCTCAGGTTGAGCCCTAATCTCACCCTCTCACACAAAATTTATGGACCCCTAGAGAGATCGTTGGAGAGAATGTGGATGGCTCTAGGTGGCCCATCCCCTGTGCTGGGTCCAAAGTTGGGTGGGGATGTTGACAGATACATCATCTTTGTATGTGGAATTTGAATATTGTCCTATTCTTCAACAGGGTCTTGTGCAAACTATTTGAATGCTGATGCCTTGGGAGGCTAATTCTGAGTTTTATTTTACTATTTCCTGGAATATCCCATCCAGATTCTTCTGGGTTCTTTTGTTTTTTGTTTTTTAATTTCTAGCATGTCTGATCCTAGGAGTACTGTATTTCTACTTATCTACTGTATTTTGCATGTTCCAAACTTCTTTGGACAATTCAGTGATTTTTCCAAGTGTATTTTCAGTTAATTTGCATATGTTTACCACTATAGATTGGCTGTTATTAATTATATTCATTGTTTCCATTTATTAGCTTGTTAACCATTTTCATTTCTTTCCCTCAATTTTTAAAAGCATTGTTAAATTTTAGCTTGAGTTCCTCCCAAGATTTTTTTTTTACTTTCTTTAAGCTGTCTACTTATATGGTTTTTATACCTTTCTTGTTTTTAGCTTTTTCAGTTCCATATTTTTAAAAATCATATTAGCACTCTTCACTTTATTTTTAAATTATTATTATTTTAGGTAACTTTTTTTTGTGTGTTATGAATATTTTTTCTTTGATTTCTGTTATTTGTGAGGCAGGTCATACCCTTTGAACCCGTTTATTCTGCTATCTTGACTGGAGAACCCTCTTCTTTGTATTTTAAAGTCAGCATATATATTATATATATACACACATATACATATGTATGTCCAGGCACAAGGTCTGATTGGGGGAGGTGTCCCTGAGCCCTCCTCAATGAATCTCCTGTGTTCAAAAGAGTCTGGGTCCTACTGTAGACCTCTTTGAACGCCATAAGGAAATAAATAGCCTATTGATGTCAAATGATCTTAACATTTCCTTTTGTTATTAGAGACAGATCTGTTTCTGGTACTAGGTATGGATGGGCCAGTCATCATAGATTTTTGAGCTAGAAGTAATCTCAAAAGCCATCTAATCTAACCCTTTCATTGTACAAATAAGGATATAAAGGCCTAAAAAAGTTGGGTAATTTACACAAAGTCACATAGGTGCTAAGCTTCAGAGGTAGGGCCTCTTGATTCCCAGGCAAATGCTTTTTCCACTGTACTTTCAAAAAAAAGTTAGAGAGGTACATTTCTCATCTCCTGAGCAGGCTCTTTTCAAAGGCCACCTCTCCCAGGATGCTTTCCTTGACTATTCCAGATCTATATTGTCCTTTCCTCTCCATAAAACATAGTTGGACTAGATTTCTACATCCTTCATGAAACATTTGTTCATCCCTTTGACTGGTGCCGGCTTTCCCCCTCATACAACATCTTCCAAATGTATTTATCATGATATGTTGCTGCTTAGAGTTATCTGTATTTGTGCCTCCGTGAGGTTGTAACTTTCTGTCCCTCCCGTCTCCTAGTATGGTGCTGAGCTCTTTCTCCAGTTAAGTACCTCATTCCACAAAGTTGGGTTGGATTGCTTAGAGACTTGGCCAGGTTCCTGAAAATCCCAAGAGGTTTTGGCCCAGGAGCCCTGATTCCTCCCAGCATCCATTAGGGTCCTCATTTCCCCTCAGCCTCAATTAAGGTCTTCATTTATTCCATTAAGTAGATTGTGGGAAGCCTTTTGGCTTTTCCTTCAGACAGTCTATAAATCTAGCTTGCGTTCTCACCCTTTGTTTTTCATTTTTCAAATGTCTTTTTCTTTGATTTCTGGGAACAGAATTTAAGGGAAATGAGGATATGGGAGATGGAGGTGGGGAGGTGGAGAAGTAGGTAGGGTTGTAACTATAAATTTGTGTCCTTAATGATTCATGAAGACAACTTATTGTGGGGAACTGAGACCTGGGTTTGAATCCTGGTTTTACCACTTACTGGCTGTGTGCCTCAGTTTCTTTAATTGTAAAATAAAGGGGGCTGAACTAAGTCACCACTGACCACTTGCCCAGCTCTAAATTTGATCCTGTCAAAGGGATGTAAAAGGCTGTCAACCCTTCATTTTACCAAGGTTAAGTGACTAACCCAAAGTCACAGAGAAATATAATGGCCCAGTTGGGGAAGTCAGGTCTACTGAAATCAAAAACAAGCCTAGTCCCCCACCCCATCCTTGCTGTATGTACCTACCCCTCTCTGTCCTTAGTACCCCTCAGGCCACTCTCTTGCAGTATTTAGCAAGGTACTGAGTATAATTCCTATTTCACAAACTGGGAAAAATCAACAAGTCAACAAGCATTTATTAAGTACTTAGTGTGTGTCAGGCACTGTGCTATGCTTTGGAAATACAAATACAAGCAGAAAAACAAAGACAGTCCCTCCCCTCAAGGGAACTTACATTCTAATGGGAGAGAACACATTTAGCCAAGTGGTGTCCAGTGACGGGAGTTTTGAATCATATAGAATCCAACCTAGCCCCCTCCAACCTTTCCAGTCTTCTTACACTCTGTACCCCTCTGCGTGCTCCGAGATCCAGACATCCTGGCCTATTTGCTTTTCTTGAGCACCTTTCTTTCATCTCTGTACACTCCACCTCCCACCTCTCTGCCTTTACAATAGCGGTTCCCCGTGTCTGGAATGCTCTGCCTTCCTAGCCTACGACTTTTAGAATCTCTCGTGTCCTTTGAGACTCAGCTAAGTGCCACCTCCTTCAGGAAGCCTTTCCTGGTTGTTCCTTCCCTGCCTCCTCTCCTGCTCCCTGATGCTAGGGCCATCCCTTCTAAGGTTACCTTCCATCTACTCCAGATTTATCTTGCGTGTTCTAATTGATATATATTGTCTCTTGCATTAGAATATAAGCTCCTTGAGGGCAGGGACTGTTCTTTGCTTCTTCTTTGCATCCCTAGAGCTGAGCCCAATATCTTGCACATTGAAGAGACTTAATAGAAGCTTGTTGTTTGATGGGGGAATCACAGCGATGGGGAGTGGCACCGTAGAGCAGATTGCCACGCCCTTTCTAGAACGCCGTGTACTTCCCGGTTCCTCCTCTGTGATCACTATGGTCCCTTATTAACTCAACATTCAGTGACCTATCATCTAAGATAATAGCTCCCAGCTAGTACACTGGGTTTCTCCCCCAGAGGGTTCTGATGCCAGCACTGTCTTCCTCTGTTTCCACAGTCAGAGATGCTGCCTGGAATCTCTTCCAGCCTGCCTGTCCCTTCCAGCGGCCCTGAAGTGAGAGGAGCCACAGAAAGAGCATGATTTACTGAAGGACTCATGGATCTCCAAGGCCCATCACTCGGCTTCTGTTTCCATCTCTGCTGCTGACTCTCAGAGTATTTTGGGGTGAGTTCCATGACCTTTTGGGGCCTTCATTTCTCTATCTACAAATCGTATCACTGTTCTCCATGACTGAACTGTTCTGAGGTGAAGATCATTCTTAGGAAATGAGAAGCACTTAAGGACTTAAATGGGCCTATGAAGCCCACTCTTAATTTACTATGCCTGTGCTGTAGACAATTCCCAAGTCATTTCAATTGGGCTTTATAATGTATCACAGAAATAGCCATGTGACGTAGCAGGAGTCCTTGACTTGTTTTTAGAAGGCCTGGATTCGAGTCCTGTTTCTTCCTCATTAGCCATCTAACCCTGGGTAAATTTTTTATCTTACCCAGACCTGTTTTCCTTCTGTGTACAATGGAGGGGTCATACTTGCTTCATAGGGTTGATGTAGGAAAAGCACTTTCTAAACTATAAGTCACTGTGGAAAATTTGTTCAGTTGTGTCCAGCGTTTCGCAGCTCTGTTTGGGGTTTTCTTGGCAAAGATATTAGAATGGTTTGCCATTTCCTTCTCCAGCTCATTTTATAGATGAGGAAACTGAGGCAAACCAGGTTAAGTGACTTGCCTCCACAACTAGTAAGTGTTTGAGGCCAGATTTGAACTCATAAAGATGAGTATTTCTGATTCCAATACTCTATTTGGTGGAAAATGAGCTGTTATTATTGTCACCTTGTTTTTTTTGTTTTTTTGGGTTTTTTTAAGGTCTTTTTTTGCTTTTTTTTTTGGTGAGGCAATTGGGGTTAAGGGACTTGCCCGGGGTCACACACACATAGTAAGTGTCAAGTGTCTGAGGTTGGATTTGAATTCAGGTCCTCCTGACTCCAAGGCCAGAGCTCTATCCACTGCACCACCTAGCTGCCCCTGTCACCTTGTTTTAACAGAGAAGAAAATGGCACAGTAGATAGAATATGGATGTGGAGTCACAAAGATCTGGGTTCAAATCCTACCTCTAGTACCTTTTAGCTGTGTGGTCATTGACCACATAAGCTACTTCTAGCTTATAAAAAGGTTGTGATCCAAGTTGGTGGAGGGAGTTTCATACCAATGAAATCAGATGTATTTGTTTTATACGATAGATACGTTTCCCAGAAAGTGGGTGTGAGGTGAATTATCTAACTCAAGTTCTGTTTTCAGTATACTCCTGGGTGAGCGGGCCATCTTAAGGAATCCTACTGGGAACCCTATAAAGAATTCTTTTGATTGTAAGGGATTGATACCTCCTGTATTTTTTTTGTAAGTTTAAAAATTTGTTTAAATCACATTTACTTAAAGTAAGGTAGGTCCCTCCCTTTCCTGGTAGCTTCCCACAGATTTAGCTTTTTCTCAGTCATTCATTTCCGCAGCTTAAGCAGCATTGTTGAGCACCTGCTATATGTAGGACCCTATGGCGAGAGCTAGAGGGACACGACTGGGGGAATGGAACGTCTGCCCTCAGGGAGGTTATAGTCTATAATCATAACTCATTTCTGTAGCGCTTGAAGGCTTACAAATTGCTTTTCTCAAAACAACCCTTTGAGATACGTAATGCAGGCGTTATTGCCCTCTGAGAGGGAAAAGTGGACTTGCTTAGATGACGCCTCTAGTGAATGGCAGAGATAGGCTTTGAGTGCCTACGTTTTCTGACTCTGAATCCAAGGTTCTTTTTGTGGTCTGATGGTTGTTGAGCCAAGGGTGAGATGGGGTCTTAAGACTTGTGTTCTTGTGACTGTAAGGGTATTTCAAATTAAAGAGAAGCAGCCCTTTCCAATGCTTCCCTGAACCGAGGGGGAAGCTTCTGGGGACACACTTGCCACGCTTAGGGAGCGGCAGTGACTACAGATACCTGAAAGGGTGGAGCTGGCCTGCTGTCCCAGGCTTCTTCACGTCCACCGCTGTGTAACTGAAAGTTGCGAATTATTCTGATTTCACAAGTTTTAGCTCCTTCAGGATCAGTAAGTTTTGTGTGGGAAAAAGCCTCTTTCTGGGTCATCGATTGTACCCTTAAGTCCCATCTGAGCCGTTTTACAGATTCATGTTAGTTAGCCTGGGACTTTACCCACTGTCTCTGCTTCTGGAAACTTAGCATCATAGGGTCTGGCATATAGTAGGTGCTTAATAAATGCTTGGTGATTGACAGAGGATCAGCTCGGGATTACCCCTCTTGGTGGAAGGAAGATAACCGATGGGTTTGGGAGGAGCACAGTCCTCGTCTTATTGTTTGACAGGCTTCGAGCCCACCATGGAGCCAGGGCGCATGGAGAACCTCTCCATTCTCTACCAGAGCTCAGACTTCATCGTGGTCAACAAGCATTGGGACCTCCGCATCGACAGCAAGATGTGGTACGAGACCCTGACCCTGCAGAGTCAGCTGAAGCACCGGTTCCCAGAGCTGGCTGACCCTGACACCTACTATGGCTTCAGGTACCAGGCCTGGGATTCCCTGAGCATCGGGAATGGAGGTGCGGACAAAGGCGGGGCCCTTGCATCGGGAGGCAGGAAACCTGGGTTCTCTGGTCCTCGTGCTGTCACTGATTTGCTACATGGCCAGTTTGTGGTTTAGTAGCCCTGGGCAAGTCACTCAACCTCTTTTCCTGGGCTTGTTTCCTTCCATGAAGAGGAAGTTCTTCTATAGATTTCCTTCCAACTTCATAGCGGTTTATATTGGTAGGTTTCTATCCTGATAAAAATCATAGCAACTCACACTTTAATGCAACATTTATGGTTTGTATATCTCTTTTGCATAGTCATTTTAGCTGAGATTCCCAGCAAACAGTCCTCTGAGGGAGGTAGCTCAAATATTTACAGGCGAGGAAACTGAGGTTCAGAGGACCCTGATGCAATGGAAAGAGTTCTAGATTTTGGAGTCAGAGGATTTGAGTTTCAATCCTGCCCTCCCACTTAGTGCCTGTATGACCTTGGGCCGGGCCTCGTTTTCCTCATCTTTAAAATAAAGGGTTTGACCTGGATGACCTCTGAGTTCTCGTTTTGCTCCAAATCTGTGGTTCAGAAAAAAAAAGGTATGATTTGTTCAGGTCTCCCAGTAAGTGAAGTCACCAGCAGGGCTGGGAGGTAGGGCCCCCCCCCGCAGTGTGGTCATTTCTGTTGCACCGCACTGCCCCCTGCTGTCCATGGCCCGCAGGAAGAGGAGCCAGTGCCCAGCCTCACTCTCTCCTCTCCCAGAGAAAAGTGATGTCCTTGTTCTTGTGTCTGCCCCCAGGTTCTGTCACCAGCTGGATTTCTCCACCAGTGGAGCACTCTGTGTGGCTTTGAACAAGGCAGCGGCGGGCAGGGCCTACAAGTGCTTCAAGGAGCGGCAGGTCACCAAAGCTTACCTTGCCCTGGTATGTAACCCCAGCTGGGGGCTATGAGAGCATGCTTATTTCTTGTTAGGTTTGGGGTTTTTTGGGAGGGAGAGTGAGAGATGCATGGGAGGGGGGGTTGGCTTGGCTCATGGTGCCCTTAATGACCATTCATTACCAGAGATGCCCTTAAAAAAAAAAGCTTTAGCCATGCCCCAGGCTAACAGGTTATCATGGAAGAAAACTTGGGATGTTTGGGAGGAAATCCCTAAACTAGTCACATTACTCCTCTGCTCAAAAGCCTTTAAATGGCTCCCCATGCATGCCTTTACGTGGCTCCCCACCCATGCCTTCACATGGCTCCC